AATGTAAACTGTGTCTCTCTTATGCAAGAATCAAAGACCTTTTGCCTATGTACTCAAACTCAACTTTACACTATTATTCAGCATCTTTTAGCTCCTTCTTGTGGTTTTCCAGCCTGCAGTCCCACATTGCCTGCATTTATATTGTTGTAGCATAGTTTTCAGCTGCAGCTGCTTAGCAAAAACAGAGTAAACAGCCAGCTGGTGAAAGTAGTGGCGGGGTTATAAACTAGTCAGAAAGAGATAAGGGAGAGCAAACAAAAGATTAATAAAAGGAAAAACACAACTGAATGAAATTCACCAGTTAGAAAAAGACAACTCCAAACAAATGCAAATGTTTTTATCTGTTGGATGTGCAAATTTTGTGTCCTATAAACTTGGAAGGTGAAATGTATCAGATTTGCTTGTGCAAATTTTTCCAAATTTATCAATGTGGAAAAAAAAGGCAGAACACCAAAGTGGAGAGATCAATGAAAGAAACCCTCTAGGGGAAAATTCACTGATTAAACCTAGTGGTACAGAGGAGGAAAAGACTTCAGGCTTTCCAACTCAGGATGCAGTTATACTTCATTTCATAGTTTGACTAAAGACGATAAACAAAAAAAAGAAAAAAAAATTACCAATTAATTTTGGTCTAAAACAAAAACATTAAGGTTGTTACAATTTTCTATTATAAATAGGCTCTTTCATCTCACCCACAGCCACATTCCTTGTTCTTTAGCCTCTGATGTACTGAATGCTATCTCAAGAGAAAATTCCCCACAGCTTTAAAGCCAACGCAGTGAGTTCAATCAGGTTTTCCAGCCTCAACTGAAATGACATGTAGCACTCACAGATGTGTAAGAGGTGTTTTGTCATTTGTATTCTCATCTTTGATCTATACAGAAATAAACAATTTACAATAAAAACCTCTTACATGCTATCTACAGCGCCTCCAGTTTCACAGTATTGAGCCAGCTGCTTCACGCCACATCGCAGCCAAGTGACGCAGCTGAGCTAAAGAGACTTTTGCCAAACGTTAGAGAGGAGAAAAAAAACAAAACAAAACAAAAAAAAAAATAGTATCCAAAAAGCATTTTACATGTTAAAAACAAGGTCTCAAACTGTACAAGGCTTGTTTGTTCTGCATCTTGCCAAAATCAGTTTGACATCAGTTTAATGTCAAGCAGGTGTTTTGAGTATTTTAGGGGATGCAGAATAAATACTAAGGAGGGAAGGTTTTAAAAAAAAAAAAAAAAAGATCATGACCATAATGAAAAGTGCCCGCTAAATTCACCTGTACTATGTTACAAACACAATGTAAACAATTGCTTTTAACCAAACTGAATGTGAGGAGTAAAATATGGAAATTGTTTTAATAACTTAAGTGATATGTGCTGCACTTTGAAATTACACAAGTCCATGATTCTGAAATCTACCATTTCCACCCTCTCAGTGTTTGGAGGAAGACTCTGTAGTCAGTCACATGAAAGCGTTTTAACAAAGAAAACAAAAAGGGATCAAAAAGAGAAGAGTGAGGACAAAGATGGTTTTTACATTGTCTGCTGACATTCTTTCAGTCACTGTGCAGCGCATATACATATATACATATATGCATGCTTTGAAATTGAAACCTGTAGTGCTTGGCTAGCTTCCCAAATAGGAAAGAAACACAGCTGAAAACAGAAATGGAAAGAATATTGAAATTAAGGGGCTGTATCCTTCAGGTTAAAAAAAACACAACAAAACAAAGCCACAAAAAAAACATAACAAGAACAACTACAACAGGGAGAAGAGTGAAGAAAAGCCAAAAGACCTTACCCTGTCTGTCACACAGTCAGCATCAGGTCACTCGAGTGAGTGAAACGCAACAACAATAGCGCTCATGCAAGACAAGTCACTTCCCACAATTCTTTTCGTTCAGATACAATTTTTCCTATCCTTAAAACAGGGGAGGGAGTACACTTATTATGGGCACATTCATTCACAGAAAAATAAACAAACAAACAAAAAAAAGATGGAGACATTAAAAAGACCACCAAAAGCCTTCAGCTTAAGCACTAAGTATACACTTTTACATTACAACAGTAAAAAGTAGTTCTTGCATTCAATAAACACCACGCTAAGGGTGTGTTAAGGAAAAGGGAATGAGGAGACACTTCATGCAGTTGTCAGTAAAAAGAAAAACAAAAAAGAAGAGGGGTCAAAAATTACATTTACAAAGTGTTTTGGACTATTTATCCAACACTTGTTGAGTCTGCGCCATATTTCTGGCACAAAGGAGTTGGCAAGGCAAACCATGTTACTGAGAGAAAAGAGAAGAGAAGAGAAGAGAAGAGAAGAGAAGAGAAGAGAAGAGAAGAGAAGAGAAGAGAAGAGAAGAGAAATAACACAAGTAAGAGCGCAGGTGGTGGCGAAAGCTCCTTCAGAGTTGTGGTTTTAGTTATCTGATCCCAGAAACAGAGCTCTGATTGATGCTGTAGGTAGGGGAGAGGTCCCCACCTATCGTGGTCACCAGTGGAGTTCCATTACTGGTCAGACAACTCTCCTGGAGAGCCTCAAAGTAGGTGGCCTGCACAGGCTTGTGACACTGCAACACTTGTATGGCATCGTCTATTTTAAACCATTCCCTTTTTCTCCCTGTTTTGCAGAAAAAGAAAGCATTGTGGAGAAGGTTAACATGCAAGAAAAAAACAACAACACACGGGGTGAAAAAAGTCATTATGAAAAATGGGTTTTGACTGATTATTAGTACTGTACACACAGCTAAAGTGAAAATCACAAGGGCAGGAACAAAGCTGGTTTTATAATCTTCCCCAGTAAACATACACTAAAAACTGTAATATCACTAAGGCCAGGCAAACAAAAAAAAAAAGCTACAGTCAAGCATGTGACTGCCTGAGAACTTTGTCCGTATGATCCCCATTCTGACAAGTAAACAAACAGTGCTTTACCAATGTTGACTGAGTCCTCCCAGTCCTCCAGCACCTCCGTTACAATAAGAACATACACATAGGTCCTGTGTTTCCTCTCCTGGTTCTGTGGAAGAAAACATTTGCATAATTAACCAAACAGTAAGGTGACACTTGAAGACACCCCCCCTCCAAAAAAGTCAACACATAGCGGCTCACCTCAAATATTCCCACCAAGCGACCTAAAGTCCCCTTCACACCAGCCTGTAAAATGAATGAAAAAATGATGAAATGCTCAGTAAATACTGTCACAGGATGAAGTCACAACAGACGATTAAAGGCTTTTCGTTCAATATGAAGAGATTGAGGTCTACGCAAAAACACTTGTATAATTTAATGCACTCCAACAGCCTAACAATAAACACCCATTTGAACCTTATAGTGTTTAGTTGAAATAGTTTCAAATAGAGCTGATTTAATTTGTACGGTAATTGGAAATGGTGTTTGTTGTGCACTGGATTACATTACATCATAAGATTGTGTTTATCCCCACACATTCACTCCATCTAAATCCTGGATTGTGGTTTTTGAGTCCACAAAATAAAAACAATATACAGCATATACAAAGACTGAAGTCATGTTCTGCATGCACTTTCCTGCAACGAGGCACATTATTTAGGGCTGTAAAACAAAAACAATTGGGGATGTTCTTGTACACTAACCAAATAGGCAAGAGAGATTTTAGTAGATACACTTATCGTATCCATTTTGACTTCCTTCTCAAGTTATGGCATTTACAAGATTTTCTGAAAATTTGACCTATGACCTTGCCCTTGAGATCAAGGTAACATATTCAATCTCATCCAAGATTTTTAGCACATACCTATGGCATCAATTTGAATATCCTACATTGCTTTGTTCTCGAGTTATCTCATTCACAAACTTGGGAGTCCACATTGCCCTTTAGTGTCCACTGGCACTAGTGTTGCACGTTGTCTTTTGCTACGGCTGAGTGTTGCACATTAAAGAAATATTAGCCTCACTGACAGAAATTTTCACTGCTGACAAGCCAGGGCAGCAATGTTCAACTGTCCAGTCAACTGATTGTGCACATTCCTACAAAATACAGTCATGTGAGTCTTGTGAAAACCAAAGTACACCCTTTCTGCCTCCAAAGGAATTAAGAGGGTAAGCAGAAGCCAGGTGCTACTAATTAAGTGGGTATGCAAGTGTGAAGAAGTTTGAACATGTATGGGTTGTTTGGAAGGGTTGCCAGGAGAAAGATTAATCTCTGTAAAAAGAACATGGCAACACAACTTGGGTTTAGGTTTGCAAAGTTGCATATGAACAAACCACACACTTGTGGAATAATGTCCTTTCAACAGATGAGACCAAAGTGAAGATTTTTATTACCATAATACAAAACGCCACATTTGGATAAAACCCAAACACAAGATATCAGCACAAACCTCTGATACCACTAACAACGCCTAAAACTTGGCCAAAATTGGGTCATGCAACAGGACAATGATCCAAAGAATACCAGCACATCTACAACAAATTTACAAAGAAAGGACTCAAGGTGTTGCAATGGAACAGTCGAAGTCAGGACCTCAACGTGACAGAATCATAAAAGATCTGTGCATAGAAAATACCCGCAAACCTCAATGAGGTGAAAAAAAACATTGTAAAGAAGAGTGGGACCAAATTCCTCGACAATAATGTGAAACTGACAAAGTCAAACAGAAAATGATTACTTGCTGCTGTGTACTTATTGCTGAGTGTACTTCAGTTTATCGCAGGACTGCTTAGTCCGATGAAAACTCTTTTCATATGACTGTATGTCATATGACATGTTGTTCTTCTTTTGATTACACTGTAAAGCATGCTTTTGACAGCCCATTTGCTGTCCAACAGTGTCAGGAGCCACTAGCATATATCTTGCCTCCTTTAGCTTTAACACAAGCCAAAAAAAGAAAAAAAGTTGAGAAAAAAACAAAGCAAAACAAAAACAAGGTTTTTGCTGCCTCAACTTCAAAACCAGTTTGTTTGTTTTTTCCTAGAAGGGATTGGTTTCCAAGTTTCTCTTTAGATACCATGTTATCATTACCCAACTTCGCCCAACAGATAACACACTTGGGCTAACAGTCGTTGACATTGCTGGTCCAGCAGAAGTCATATGACAGGTATTTTTCACCCATCTCCCCTTAACTGTAAACTTTGTTTTCCCACAAAACAAAGCACTATATTTTTCCCCTATTAGGCTCCCATATATGCAAATTGCCAGGGATTTGGCTCTCGTTTTTTTTGGGGGGGTTTTTTGTAGTTCTAAACTGCAAAAACGTATGATCCTCACAAACAAAAACAAAAAGAATTGGTGCACCACTTGGAAAACACTCTCCTAGCTGAAAAAGCTAACATCCCTAAAAAAGGGATCAATTCACAAAGTAGGTCAATGTCAGGTTCCCCCCTCATAATGACTGGACATAAATGACTTCTACAGCAATGAAATTACTATTAAAAGCATTGATAATTGTCATTGATTTCTTCTGACAAAAATGTTTAACATTAATCAAGCAACTGACAAAATAAACAAATACAAAACAATAATATAGTGAGGAAAAACAAATTCACAATCTCTCAGAGCCCAGTCTCAGATGTCCAACTACTAGTCAAAAAACTAAACTTCATAAAACATAATATTCAACAAAAACAGTAAAACATTTTTCAGAGGCTGAAGCCACAGTTTTCTCGCAAAGTGCCAGATTAGTGGGGAAAAAGGTTCCTGATTTACTGATCAACTGATTTTTAAAATTGACTTATACATCTGAAAAATAACCCTCTCTCAACTTTTGGCACTTTTTGACAGCCTCTCTCTCAAAATAGTTTTTAGTTTCGTCATGTAAAAGGTCAGGAAAAAAAGCAGATGAATAAAAACTTTGCAAGTTATTATACCTTTTCTCACAATCCTAAACTCAGAGCCATATAAATGTCACAACCTTTCTGTCATAGAGAAACTTTAAGGTCTCTGAGAGCTTAATATTGTTGAGAAAATTTTAACACCAAAAATCATCTCCAAGATTTTAACTCCCAGAGGTGAACAGTAGGTCAGGTTTTGATACAGCACCAGGCCTCTCACTGACATCTCTGCAGCTTCTTCCTCAGTTTCCAGTTTCACTCTATAAATAAATGTTGACTCCACACACTGTACCAATGCCTCGGTATTGCACTCCTAAGGCCTTCAGCTTGATCATATGGTAAAGAGCAGGCACACCACTAGAAACTCCAAAGACGAGCCAGGGATTAAGTAATAGGCCAAAAGTCAACCTGTTTGTTTTTATGAGATGTAAAAAGTCTCCCAGCTCTGGCATTCATGTAACACAAGACTACTGGGCAACACTTGGGAAGAGGATGTACAGCTGAGACTTCGTTACCAGTTATGCAATGCGTCTTCAGGTTGCAGGGTCGGGGTGCATCTCCAAGATACAAGGATTAACAAAGATAGTGAACAGTTTAACAAAGAAACCCTCTGTAAATTTTGGCTTGCTACTGCATGCCTTGTCTTCACTCTCATCCCTGGAGAGACTCCAAACCAATAAGCATAAGCAATCACTCATCACTCATACGGTGATCAGAACAGGCTCACCAGGATTAGGATATGTCCTGCTACACCAACGTCCAATAAAAGGCTTAGAAAGCCAATGTAGTTGGTGATGTATCAAGCAGCACTCAGTCACCACAGAGTTTCTGAATGTAGCCTTTTAGCACATAAGGAGCCTGAGCAGTGATGTGACATTGCTTTTGACCCTGTGGAAATTTGCTGGCAGGCCTAAGTGTCCTGCAACCACCAAAGCTACCAATCAGCAGGAGCCAGGATAAGGGATGATATCAGCATCCATCAGTGTGACGGATCACACAGAGAGGATAGGCTTTATAAGGTCAGCAGCCCACTAGGAGCCAACCGCTGGGTGAGATTCAGTGTCTTATGTGCCCTGTGTCCGTTCTGATCAAAATATCCAAAGGATGAACAGCATGCAGAGTGGAAGAATACCTGATTTAACAAACAGGCGTAGGCAGCATAAGTAGGATATTGATTTCCAATTAGCTTCAGAACTGTTTACTAATTACTACCCATCCACCCCAATAAACAACATGTTGTGTCCTCCAAGCTGCCCTTGTAATGTGACCACTACTGTATACTAATATATATAGCTATGAGAAACTTACAAACAACAAAACTCAATTGTTGTCATTTTCTGCGTTTGTGTGACTTGACTGTACTGCAGTCAAACTGCTGTGCAGCCAGTGTTCAATCTCTGTGTGACCTCCTTTGACACCTAAAGACTGCTTTGTAACATGATGCTATGATACAGCTTACATGTTGCTAGGCTCTCTCTCTTACTGTCCATGCAAACAGGATGACTGCATTGACAAAATGGATTTTGAGAACAAGGTATCAGGCTCAGTGTTAAATACAGACAAGTTAACAGAACTGTAATACAATACATCTTATGAGTCTATACTCAAACAAATTTGCCACACTTTCTGAGAATTATATTTCCAGCTACTGACATTTCTGAAAAGGATCACGTTAAGGTTCCCAGTACGCAGTATACATAGAGACAACATCTGTCACTTGGAAAACCAAAGAGAAAAGGCCATCATACTACAGGCTTAAAAAAGATATAACAATATTGAGTGACACAACCAACCTCTTCACACACTTCTCGAGCTGCTGCAACATTGGGCTCCTCTTCGGGCTCCATTCCCCCTCCAGGAACTATCCACTTGTCAGGATGTCGACTACTGCTCACCAGTAGCACCTGCAAAACACCCCATACAATACTGGTCAGGTATGACAGTCCAACTCTGAGTTACTGTTCACATAATATCAACTGGGACATCGAAAAATACAACTTCAAGAAAAATGAAAATGATAACCCATTGGGTTTAAAATAACTAGTGCTTTTATTACTGTCAATAAATCATAGCTAGTGAACTAGTTTAGATGTTGGGTTCTTAGTGGAGATGAGCTGTGGAACCCCTGGCTGCCAGTCAGATAAACTACAGTTTTAGGTAAAAGTTTCCACTTTGGTGCTGGTAATGCTGATACGTTTCCTGTAATCAACAACCCCTGTCTACACAGTCTGGCCTTTACTTTAACCAAAATGAGGAATTGGTTTGGTCCCATCTCCTCCCCTAGTAAAATGTTGTAAGTACAAAGACATCTTTGTGTCTCCTTTTGACTGTACGTGAGCGCCCCAAATCGCGACTGAGCTCAAGTAATCCACAACACGTTTTCGCTTTTTCTGATACGGCTAGATAAGAGCGATAAATACACAAATAGCATTAATAAGCGATATTGTAAAATGTGCGCACAGGGCTCGACGCTTCCATTAAGCTGGTGCTCCAAATATCAACAGTGTCAATTTCGCAAACAAACTAATCAAAATACACAAGTGATACAAGCCGGCTATCACTGCCAGAGTCATCTTCTGGCTTAAACTAGGATAGCTACTAGCTACATAGCAGTACAATGTTTGGCTAGTAATACCAGTTGCATTAACACAATACACTTAGCTCGCCAAACTATCTGTAACGCGAGCAGATACATATCTTAGCTGTCGCTTTAAATACTAAATATTCTCTGTCCATCCGACAGCTGGTAATGATAGAGTCAGCACTCACCACAGCCTGTACTGTGGGCTGTGGTTGCTGGCCGATAGCCGGCTGCCCACGGCAGCAACCCGGGTAGTTAGCAAGCTAACGTTAGCGTTAGCATTAGCGCGGAGCTAGTAAGTCTGGTCATAACCGAGGCTGCTATCTGCACTGCTAAAGAGGCTTACATAACACTCGGGTAAGTACCAGCTGAAAAATAGTGAATAATCAAAACGTCGGGAGTCGACACGAGAATAAAAGAAATCATTTACCAGCTGGGATAAAACCAAAGCCGTGCTGATAAACGTCTCGATCTACACACAACAGAAAAGGCTGGATAAAACCTACGGATGCTAATATTAGCTTGGCCCTCCAGACAGTTCACATCACCGAACTCACCTCCTCCTCGCTCTCGCTCCTGAAGCACAGGCAAGCGGCCCGCTTCTTGTAGCCATCGCCGTCGTACGTCCGGGTTTGGTTTGACTTGAGCTTCATCATTTCGGGAGCGTAAAAGTTCAAAAGTACAGCTATATTTGCCACTTATAAAGACGATGGTTGTAGACGCAAAGTCCTCCTGCGGGGAACCTCGGCGTTTTACTTAAAAGAAATAACTTCTTCTTCGCTTCATTTTCACAAACCTGGGAACATCTACGGCACGGTCGCCATTACAAGGAGCCGCTACGCCCACGACGTAGTTTAACCATTAGTAGCTTGGCGAGCGTAAGAAATGTACCTACCAGGGGTTGAAGAATTAGGGCAACGAAGCGTGGGGGAAAACGCAGCACCACGCTCTGACTGGAGTGAGCCGGTAAAGGGAACTGGCACTTGAGGCTCCAACTAGATGGCCCGGTCTACTTATCTGATGCCGATATTAATTTATATGACTTTTTATTTGGGGAAACATCGTATTTAGCGTAATCAAATTAGTTTGCTGCTCACATTAGAAAAAGAGACACCAGGTTAATTCATCAGTTTCAGCACCGCAGGTAATGGACAGCGCAGGAATGGCCCTCAAAATAGATCCGACACTGTAAGCATATAACGTGAGAAAAGCTGTTTTTAGGCAAACACAAAATTCAACTAAGTCTTCAAATGTATTTTTGTCAAATCCTACTATACTTCAAATGGAAAATAGCTGCAAAAATGCCTAAATAATAGAAATTGTTAATAAATTATAAAGAGTAAAACTGGATTGACCTATAATAAAATTATATTTTAATTAAGGTGGATAGTCTACTACCATGTTGATTTTCAACCTTGTTATCCCTACATGGGAATTTTAGTATTTAATTGCTCAGATGCTTGTCAAAACACATTTTCTAATAATACATTATAAACTATAATTACACACTGTAATGGCCTTGGGTCTCTCTAGACGTTTTATACAGGTTAAAAAAATACATTTGAAAGTCCTCCACTAATCTTCTTTTATTCTTCATCTAGTACTATCTAATGCCCCATATCTGCAGAGCAGGCTGTGGCTCTAACAGTGCATACTAAATCAACATAGAAGCAAATCGATCAGAAAGAGCACTTATGTGTCCTCAGTTAGATCACAAAGACATTTCTGAATCTTTATCTTTGCTTTCCAGGAAAGGTTGACCAAAGTCTGAATCTTATCAGGGTTTTCTGCGTTGTTATAACTTAGATAAGACATATAAATATATCTCTTTCTTGCTTGCCAAAGTCTACCAACAATGCAGAAGTTTATTTCATTGATGTCTTCTAATATTTGGAAAAGAAATGTAGCTTTTTCAGTCTCGTTTAACATCTGTTTTAAATGTTTACATGAGATTTGATTGAACCAAAACTGGAACCTTTCATGTAAACTAAATTCTAAAAGAATTTAGGAAACAGCATTGGATAGTCTGGGCTTTTCGATGTTGCTAAAAAAGCACTTTGCTCTGCATTTGCATTATTATAAATGACCAAACAATGAGTCACAGTCTTACAAACCTGTTCAGGTCCCTAAATAATCAGTTTAATCTCATTATTGCAGCGACTTAATTGTGGGAACTCCAAATTGAATTTTAAATTGAATTTGTTACATAAACTTACCAACCACACCACAAAACCCTGTCCTTAACAACAGAGGATGAATCTGATGTAGCTGCAGTGCGAAGGAGTGGGCCACAGCAAACAATAAAACAAAAATGCTTTATTGTTGAATGTCTCAATTTCACAAACAAACACAAAAAGCACAGACATGAATCTCAGCTGTCATACAAGCAAACAAGTTAATTTACAGTATTTTATGATGTGTGTAAAGAAAAAACAAGAAACCACCACCACCACAAAAAAAACCAAAAACAAAACAGTTCAAACAGTTCAAAGTTCATGGAATAATAAAGCCCAGTTAAGCAGACATGAATGAAAAGTGTCAGTTGAAATGTTTTCTGTGTGAAAAATTGGGGCAGGTATAGCTCAGTAGGTAACGTGGTTGCCCCCCACTGAACAGCTACCCTGAGGTACCCCTGAGCAAGGTACCATCCCTACACACTGCTTCCCGGGCGCCTGATTAGTGGCTGCCCACTGCTTCACTGAGTGAATGGGTTAAATACAGAGAGCATAATTTCCCCACGAGGATGAATAAAGTATACATTATTAATATTATTATTAAATTAGTCAGGTCTGCAAATACAAACAATCAACCAAACCAGAAAAGAAAAAAAGGGGCAAATATTGAAGATACATGAAGTTTTTTTAAGCTGACTGTCACATCATGATTTCCACCAAACTCACACAAATCCTCAGCATGCTGATTTCTTACAAAAGCTCTTATTCAAGTCTTTTCTATTGATTGTTCAAGTTATCATTTCATTGCTTTTGTCATAGCTGCAATAACTCAGTTTCCCACCAGTAATCAACGCAACGCATTTTCTCCTTATTCAATTCACTAACTTCTCAGTTTTCTACCCACAGATGTTGACATTTGAAGTGGCTCTTACCTTCTTCTCAGCACATCTCAGATTGCTCTTCATTAAAGGGCAAGTCTTGCTTCGATGACATAATCAAGAAGAAAAACAAACACAAACAAAGCTAATCAAAAACTAGTATGAAATGATGGTATTGAATCTCTGTAAAATAAGAATAACTCAGGCTTAACGCTTACATTTTTATACATCTAATTATTTGAAAATATGTAACACTGAGCAAGGACGCCTTTTAAAAGGTTTAAACATGGAAATGCATTAGGTTGTGAAGAGGAGGCTATAACTAAGCAACAGGTTGCTTGTATTTGGACCCATTTGTCCATTTCTTCCACTTATCTAATTAAGGGTTGCCACAGGGCTGGAGCATTTATTAAACCCTCATAGGCTGAGAGACGCTGCACAAATTGCCAGTCTGTTGCAGGACTAACACACAGAGACAGACAGTTCATGCTCACCTTTACATCTATAGCCAATTTAGAATCTCCTAACCCGAAATATGTCTTTGGACTATGGGAGCTCATGCAAACATGGGAAGAAGATGCAAACTTCACAGACAAAGGCCCAAACCTGGATTCAAACCAGAACCTAATTGCTGTGTGGGTGACAGTGCTAGCCATCAGACCACCATGCCACCTGTATTTGGTCCTACTTGTATCATATTTTTATTTAAACACATCCCCCATTAATTATTGGGGAAAAAAGTGAAAAGCTTGAGTCCCCTAAAAGTGAAACTAATTGTACGGCACAGTAGGTGTTCATAATATTGTGTCCACCACCTCCTGTGTGTAGCTATTAAAATACATTACAAGATGGAGGAAAGAAAAATGTAATTAGATGTGTTACCCTGGGCTAATGTAAATTATGCAACACTAACATATAAATGTAATTAAAATAAAATAACAATTTAAAAAAGTGTTTTCTAGGAGCAGGTGTTGGGTCAACACATTCTCAGTTGTTGAGAAAAGGCTTCATGATACTGTAATTATGCACATTCAGCATCACCGCGGCATTGTTGTTGACTACTAGCAGAGGATTTTCAGTGTGCAAGGAAAACACAGACGTGTGGGGCCACAGAATTTTTTGTTTGTTGTAGATTTTTTTCTCTCTACAAAAATCTATATTATATCAGCCTTGTCTGCTAGACTAACTAATCTCTTTATTTCTTTATCAAGTCATTCATTAATCTTCCATTCTGCTAACCACTTTCTCAATTAATTCACAACCTCCCTGCTCTATAAAATGTCATATAACAGTTTCAGAGAAGCACTGACAGAAAAGGAAAAGGAGATTACTGAAAAGATAAATTCAGACAGAAAGCTTCACATTATGGGCATAAAAGTCAGATACATTTATGCTAAAAACATTTTTAAAAAATTACATTTAAAACAACTCCAAAGAATTATAATAGATGCGGAACAGAAAATGACAATAATTAACAAAATCTAGTGAAAGAATAAAAAAACAAGGAAACAGACATAATAAACAAGACAACTGAAATACCATAAACAGGCATAAAATACTATAAAACACAAGGTTAAAAAGCATCATATAAAACCAAGTCTATGAAATTCTACATTAGGAAGTGATTTGAAGATTATCAAATGTATCTTAAGGATTGAGGGTGTAAGACTACAAACTGGCTTATATTCGATTGAATATTTCTTCTACGTAGTTTGGAGTGAGACCCAGACAGGCTTTGAAATGTATGAGTAAATTTTAAAAACTAAATTTTAAAACAGGAACCCGGTTGAGAAATCCTTCTGAGGGTCCAACACCAGGAGATACAACCCAGAAAGTATGACACCGAGCGACGGGTGAAGTTTTGATGGTTTCAATTGATGATTTTTCTCAGTGAATCAGATTTCGGGTTTCAGCTATGTTGATTTCACTTTCTCCAAGCATCTGCCAACTTCCAAGGAATCCATAAGATTTATGAACCCAACAGAAAATAAACAACACATGTTGCAAAGACATTTGAAATTCATCAGGGTCACGGTTGTTTGCACAGAATGAAATATATACTTTCTATGCCGCCTCTCTCTCTCTCTTCGGGATGAGGAAAGCAGGTCTTACACAATTAAACACATCTGTGTAGGGTCACACTCAAGAGGCTGCACTATTACGATCTGCTGTTGCTACGGCAACCAATTCTCTCTGATGAACCATTCACACATTGGGGCGGTGTTACAGTTTCTGCCCTGTCCAGAAGAGGGCGCTCACCTCTTGCAGTACTGCAGCATTTCTTTTTTAATTAATTAATTAATTTTAAAAAAATCGTTCATAAGGGAGCTCTTATTCCTAGACCATATGATCTGATCCATGCGTATTTTAAGGAGGAATTCTTACTATGTTCCTTTCCTCCTTTTTCCCCTTTTTAAATATATATCTTTTTTTGTTTGAATTTTCATGAAAGGAAACATGACTTTGATGTTTATCTTCTACGTTGTGTCACTGGTACCATATGTGTGCTTAAATTAAAAGTGACACATACTGAAAATCAAAACCTAACAAGTGATGAACTCCAAATCATGGATATTAATTTTCAGTTGATAATGATTAATGATAAAAACTAATCAGAGTTAAGGCATATTAAAGCACACTGTATTAAAAAAAGAAAAACAAACTATAGAACACAGTAGCTAACCTAAATTAGATACTGTTACCTTTATATTAATGGGCTCCAACTGCTGCTGCTCATATAATCCAACACCTGAACAGCTATAGTCTCAGATCTTACAGTGACACCTCAGTATAATTATGTAGGACATTAAATCTGGGTCCTTGCAGACTTTGATACAGATCTTAAGCTTCGCTCTCACAGGTATT